TCTCTCCAGCCATATGCATATTTGGTCGACCAATAAGAGACTTCATCCCAATCCCACCTGGGAAATACAGGCCTCATCCAACATGGCAAAGCACATCTCTTGCCCGTGAAGAGGCATTGCGCAACAGGCATATGCAATGTGCAGAAAGACTATCGGAACATACACAAAGACTACCACCTCTTTCAGTTGGAGACCATGTTCGTATGCAGAACCAAATTGGACTTTTCCCTCGCAAGTGGGATAAGACAGGAGTAGTCATTGAGGTGCGCCAGTTTGACCAGTATGTCGTGCGCATTGATGGCTCTAGATGTGTCACCTTACGGAACAGGAAATTTCTTCGCAAATATATTCCAGTTCAGTTGCCACCAAAGCGACTTACCATAGAAACTGATTCTAAGGCACATCCACCATTGCCTTCCCTGTTGAGGCCTGTCACATCCCCCGCTCTCACCATGGACACAACAGTGAAGCCTGGATCAACAACACCGATGAAAACAGTCACAATGCAGGAACAGTCACCCGTGCCTGCCACGGAACCCCCATCTGAGACACCCACTCCTATCAAGGTGCAAAAACCATGCCATACGCTCACATACACTGAGCCAAGGACTCAGGATGCCAGCTCACCACCAGATGTTGCCAGAGAACCACCTTGTGCAGAAGCAACGGTTGCTCCACCACCAACGATTGAGTCCACACCTACCCTGCCACGACGTACCAGCCGCATCAGACATGCTCCAGAATGGCAAAAAGACTTTGTTTGTGAATAAACTCACACACCATGAACTTTACAATCAGTGTATGGAGTGAATAAATGAAGACTTTCAACAGTGAATTCCAGCCAATAATTGACAAATCATTAGCCATTAATATTATCATGTGTTAAATATCAGTCTTTTTCATTCAGTTCATTCATTTATAAACTAAATGGACACTTCCTACCAAAAGACTTGGGGGGAGATATAGGATAATGTTACAGTTTATTATAGTTTATCAGTAGTTAGTTACTACAGTTGTTATTATAGTTTTCTATTATTTTCAGATCTTGATCATTGTATGACACAGTTGATAAAGGATACTTAAATTACAAATAGAAAGAACTCTTATTTAAGAACTTTCCTCAAAGGAATCGGTCTTTCTGTATGTTCTGATAAACAAAAGCAGTTCACCAATAGCGGGAAAAATATAAATTAAAACTATTGGTTCTCTAAACCACATGACATGCATCACATGCCTGAAAATGACCAAATAGGTCAAATAGCCATAGGCATTATAAACCATTTGAAAGTGTCAACTAATGATCGTTCAATACTCAATAGCACAAGGGATCAGGGCAATATGTGTTTCTACTCAAATCACTGACGGATTTATAGGGGACTAAGTCCCTCGCCCCGTCCCTTGTTTCAAAAAGATGAATAATTTTTGTGGCTGTGGGCCCCTACACCGGTGTACCATTGAAAACTGTCGCCAGTGCTCAGAGTCCCAAACTTGCCCCTCCCCTCCCCCTTTCAAGATTCCTGGATCTGTCACCGAAAATATACACGTACAACATGATGTTGATGATCAAGTGAAATAGTACGTCATAAAAACAAGACATATATATTCCGTTAATATCATTTATTAATCAAAAATATATGGAAAAAGAGGCCCATGGGCCACAACTCTCACCTGAGCACTGTGGCTAGAGAAAAAGCAAAAATCAATACAGTATTGATAAAGCTTAATTACATGCAACAACAAAAAAAAAGATCCCCACTTACCTCTAAAAGGACTTGGGTATTGATTTGAACAAACTTGATTCTAGAGTACTTGAGGATGCTTCCATAAAAATAACGCCAATCGTGGCTTTCTTGTTCTTGAGAGAAAAAAATCCTATACTTAGTATATTCCAGTGTATAATTTGACCGTCCATTGTGACCCCGCCTTACCCCCGGGGTCATGTTTTGAAAATATGACCCACCATGGCTTTCTTGTTCTTTCGAAGAAGATATGAAAAGATTTTTTCCTATATTCCTATTTAAAATTTTGATCGTCCATCGTGGTCCCGTCCATCGTGGTGGTCATGATATCAACAAACTTGATTCTACAATACTCGAGGATGCTTCCATATAAAAAGAGCCATTGATGGCTTTGTTGTTCTTGAGAAGAAGATTTTTCTATATATATTCCTATGAAAAACTTTGATCGTCCATTGTGCGCCCGCCTTACCCCCGGGGGTCTTCATTTGAACCGACTTCAATCTACACTACCTGAGGATGCTTCCATATAAATATGTTCAATCATGACTTTATTTGTTGTTCTTGAGAAGAAGATTTTTAAAGATTTTTCCTTATAGTCCTACGTACGTAAAAATTTGACCGTCCATTGTGGCCCTACCCTTCCCCCGGGGGTCATAATTTGAACAAACTTGATTTTACACCAACTATGGATGCTTTCATATAAATATGGCTAATCATGGCTTTGTTGTTCTTGAGAGGAAGAGTTTTAAAGATTTTTCCTA